TACAAGACAAAATTAATTTATTTGGTTGAATAAAGCATAGTTTACAATATTACACACATTTAAACTCGTTTAACAAGCATTTTAGAAATGAAAAGGCACATTTAAAAGTTGCATTTTAAGTGTATTCAACCACTCTCTATAATCACTTTTTTTTACCGAAATAGCACTAATTCTCGTGCCGGTGTGTCGCCGAAATCTGAGCCGGTGAAGGATGAAGTGACTGACTCCAAAACCTGCCCAAAAACAAACAGTACTGAGATTAAAGAACATATTTTAACATCAAATTAAATTACACTCAGTATTATAATGAATAAAATCCATTTATGTTAAGCAAGGCAAAAAGCGTTTCCATCTTGTGAATTCAGCAGCTGCGTTGGTTCATCGGAGAATGGCTCAACCCAGCGGTTAGGTAAAAAAAACTAAAAAAACAGCGTTAAAAATGACCCAGCAACTTAATTACAGAAAAACTACCCAGCACCTAGGTAAAAATATAAAAAATAACCCAATAAAATGACCCAACAAGCTGAACCCAACATTTGGGTTAAAAATTAACCCAGCACCTGGGTAAAATATTAAAAGCAACCCAATAAAATGACCCAACAGGCTGAACCCAGCATTTGGGTTAAAAAAAATAACCCAACATTTTTAGAGTGTATGGACCAGCCTGGAGTAAAGTTTAATTTAACCAGCCATCTGGTTACCAATCCAAGTCATTAGTCAACATGAAACGTACTCGGTTACTAACGTAACCTCAGTTCCCTGAGATACGGGAACGAGTACTACGTCTTGCTAGACGCATATGGGGAAAAGCCTTTTTTCTCCTGAACTGAAGCCTTTTTTTCATTCACGCAGTGAAACTGCATGGCCATTGGTTCATGCAGTGTATTAAAAAAATGAACCAATGGCTAGGCAGCGGAGCTGCACAAACCTATTGCGATGAAGCCAGCCAAGCCTGCCAAAGCCCACCAGAATGGGCGCGGCATCTTGCTATATAAGCGGGCATTCGCCACAGGATTCTCGGGTTACTTCTACTGAAGCGACGACTAAGTCGTTCAGCTACATAGCACAGCTAGCAACGCAGTACTCATTCCCGTATTTCAGGAAACCGAGGTTACGTCAGTAACCGAGCACGTTCCCTTTCGATACTACACTCGTACTGCGTCTTGCTAGACGCATATGGGAACACAGTACAATCACTCCGTGCTAATGTAGTGGAATGACTAAAAGTATCAAACTTCTATAAGCAACCAATGCCCATAGAGAAGTTAACAACAACCCAAGGCTAAGACGGGCTGAGCTTCCTGAGGTCACAGCCGGCCTGGTTAATCGTTCCAGAGTACTCCTGTAAATTCAACACCCAGGGGTCGAGAGCTAACAGGTGAACTAATGCCAGAGAGCTTGAGCATGATACAACCAAGGGCTCTCTGCCAGATCTGTTTACGCAGCGCATGTCACTTCAAGCGGAAAGAACCCTGGCCTGCAAGGCCGGGACTTCCAGGTTATAAAACCTTGTGAATGTGGACGGCGAGGCCCAGCTGGCGAGAAGAGCGAGACTCATGCTCTGAGTGAGCATTCTGTATCAGTAAGCGCGCAGCTCACTGCCCTTCTGCGGCGGATCCGAGTGCAACGGTGAGAGAGAGCACACAGGCATAGTGCCGGCATGAGATCGGTCAACCCGGTTGCTTATTGCCTGACTCTGTTGTTTTCAGTGAAGGCGGTCCGCGAGTGGAGAAGGGCGAGACTCATGCTTTCAATGAGAGCATTCCGTCTCAGTGAGCGAGCAGTCTCTGCGTGGGGGCTGCCCAGACAGGTGACACACTCACTGCCCTTCTGCATCGTGCAAGATTCCCTGCACGAGCCACCCTCGCAGCGCTACATTTGCAACAACGTTGCTAGAATTTGCTCTTTTAGGGCTTACCTGATAGAAATAAGCTCTTTCAGTATCGCCGGATGGCGGCAGGGGAACAGGACCGGAACTGCTTCGATGCTGAGGCGAGAAGAGAGCCGGTCAGCCAAGCAGGGAGGTCTCAATCCAGCTGCGAGGCGTGTCAACGGCGAGCAGGCTTTCAGGATCAGCGATGAGCGTAGAGTTGTCGCTGAAGGAGAAGAAATTTGAGAATCCTGAGGCGAACGCCTGCTTATATAGCCAGATGCCCTGCCCAATCCGCTGCCTAGGTTCGTTTTTTAATGCACTGCACGAACCAATGGCCGTGCAGTTTCACTGTGTGAATGAAAAAAAGGCTTCAGTTCAGGAGAAAAAAAGGCCTTTTCCCACATGCGTCTAGCAAGACGCAGTACGAGTGTAGTATCGAAAGGGAACTGCTTTCCCTTTTTTTTTACATCCATCTCAAATATACGGTTTTCAATGGGGGAAATGTAGTGCAGGATTGTTTTTAAATAAACATTCCAAGGTAATGTTGAAACAACAACAATAACAACAAAAGTCAATTAATTAAAAAGCAAAAACTGAGATTACAGTGGAATTTACAATGGAACTGAATCAGAGCAATGTTTGGAGGATTTCTAACCAGAATTGTGTAATTATATGAAAGCATTTGCATAAACTCTTCTGTTAAAACTTGAGTATTATTTGATCAATTAATCTGTTAAACTGTTATATACTGTATATACAGGTGCATCTCAATAAATTAGAATGTCATGGAAATGTTCATTTATTTCAGTAATTCAACTCAAATTGTGAAACTCGTGTATTAAATAAATTCAATGCACACAGACTGAAGTAGTTTAAGTCTTTGGTTCTTTTAATTGTGATGATTTTGGCTCACATTTAACAAAAACCCACCAATTCACTATCTCAACAAATTAGAATATGGTGACATGCCAATCAGCTAATCAACTCAAAACACCTGCAAAGGTTTCCTGAGCCTTCAAAAGGATCTCTCAGTTTGGTTCACTAGGCTACAAATCATGGGGAAGACTGCTGATCTGACAGTTGTCCAGAAGACAATCATTGACACCCTTCACAAGGAGGGTAAGCCACAAACATTAATTGCCAAAGAAGCTGGCTGTTCACATCGTTGACAGAGCCGTTGTGTGTTGTTTACTGTTGGAAGGTTGCTTTGCAGAGCGCACACTTGGAAGAGTTACCATGCCCGCTTATTATATGCAATGCCTATTAGGTGTCTTTGGGCTTGTTGTTTGGGCTCGGCTCATCTTATTGAGTTAATTCATTAGGAAGGATTAATTTTATGGAGTTAATAAAGTAGACAGGCGCAGGTCATGATATTTTGGTATGTGGCTTATTCAAAGAAATTTTGGATTTAAAGGTGCTGTATGTAATATTGACAGCTAGCAGTTGAAATGGGTATGGCAGTCCAAATACAAAATATTGGAGAGCATTGTTTCTCCTGCTCCCTCTTCCTCAGACTCAACTCACACATGGGTTGCCAGATTGAGGACACGCAACAGGAACGAGCGCAACTGACATTGGAAGGTGATGAGGTAAATTGATGAGTTGATTAATCCACATTTTAATGTTCCTCTGGTCATGTAGCTTTTTAGATGGACGCTTAGGCTTTGTACAGAAAAAAATAGAAAAATGGTTCTAAACAGTACCAGAAAAGGGTTCTTCAGCTTGTAACAATAACAGAACCCTTTTTGGTGCTAAATAGAACCCTTTTTATAGGGTTCCATAAAGAACCATGCTTTGAAAGTGCTATAGAACCTTAATGGTTCTATAAATAACCTTTTTAATGATAGCTTACTTTCATTAATATTAGTATATTTATATCATTAATATTAGTTTTATTAATATTATTTGAATAAATTATTTATTACTATTGTTTTTTTTACCCCTCTATCTACCTGGTCTTATAATATCTTATAGCTTCTATTAAAGGGGTCATATGATGCGATTTCAAGTTTTCCTTTCTCTTTGGAGTGTTACAAGCTCTTGGTGCATAAAGAATATCTGTAAAGTTGCAAAGACTAAAGTCTCAAATCCAAAGAGATATTCTTTATAAAAGTTAAGATAGCATCATATGACCCCTTTAAGGTTTTCATAAAAACAACAACAACAGCATGTTGTGTCAATTAGGTATTTATATTTTATTTAATGACATGTGAAATTGTAGCAAAAATGACTACATTTTTGCTACAGTTTACAGTGATTTTAACAACCGTTACTAGCAGAATACATTAATAAATGACAATTGACATTGAACATAAATAAATACAGAGATAAAACAAAAACAGAAACAGAAAATAGTGTAATGAAGACCAAGTTCTAGTGAAATACTGTATTTTCACAATCCTCTATAATGCCTGTATGCCCATCATTATGTGTATTTGTGGCCCTGTCTGTGAAATTCAGGCTAAAGTCTCAAAATCTAATTATGAGATAACAAGCATCAAAATATGATTTCAATCTTTGATATGGCCTTACTCAGTCAATATTAAAGACACATCAAGGTTACATTTTCACAGAATGTTCTTTACATTATAAAGGATGATTTTATGTAAAACAGTAAATCACACACACACACACACACACACACACACACACACACACACATACACACACAAAAAAGTCTTTCGCTGTTTTTACACAGGCAGAGCCACATTTGGGTGTTCCCTCTATAATGCCTGTATGCCCATCATTATGTGTATTTGTGGCCCTGTCTGTGAAATTCAGGCTAAAGTCTCAAAATCTAATTATGAGATAACAAGCATCAAAATATGATTTCAATCTTTGATATGGCCTTACTCAGTCAATATTAAAGACACATCAAGGTTACATTTTCACAGAATGTTCTTTACATTATAAAGGATGATTTTATGTAAAACAGTAAATCACACACACACACACACACACACACACACACACACACACACACATACACACAAAAAAGACTTTAGCTGGTTTTTCACAGGCAGAGTCACATTTTGGTGTTCCAGTGAAATATCTTCACAATCCTATATGATGCCTTTAAGTCCATCATTTTGGTGTGACTGAGTGGCAGTTTCTCTCTGCAGATGGTGAGGTTGTGGGATGTGATGCATCTGAAATACACAATTGAGTTTAGAGTTGTCCAATTGTTTATGTAAAAACAATAATGTCTATGAAGGCCAAAAGCAAAAATGGACAGAATGTGAGCCCTTCACAATGTTAAAAGAACATCGACATTAAAAGTGATATAAAGTCATGGGATAGCTTTAATATTTTTGTGACTAGGTATATTTATGCATAAACCCAAGTGATAATTACATTACATTTACATTTAATTATTTAGCAGACACTTCAATGCAAAGCGACTTAATGAGGGTAACAGAAGCAATCAACATGACAAAAGAGCAATAATATATGTGTTGTGACAAATCCCGGTTAGTCTAACACAGTTCACATAGCAAGGTTATTTATTTTATTTTTTTATAATAAATAAACAGAATAAAAAGTAGATAGAAAAGAAATAGAATAGACAGAGCTAGTGTTAGAGGGTTAATTATTATTATTTTGTATAATAATTAAAGAGAAAACAAGCAGATAGAATAGAAATAGAATAGAGAGTTCTAGTGTTAAATTAAATAAAACAATTCTAACAATATGTATTATAAATCCAATGGCTCTGTTACGTACTTAGTGGAGAAGAGGAGAAGGATCCTCAGCTTAACAGAGCTGCTCACACTTACATATGACCAGAAAACTAAAAAGAGAAAAGAACATGTTTGTTTGGAAACCAGTTACAATTTTAAAGTTACATTTGTATTTAAATTTAAGAATGAAATCATTTACCTGTTGAGAGTGTGTTGACAGTCTGTAGTTGGATCACTGAGCTCCAGAAAATCAGTAATATGGAGCTTTGACAGTTACAGATTTAAAAAACAAAAAGGGCGGGAACAAAGAACCCTAAACTCTAACACAAAGAACTATTTCAGCATAAAAGGGTTCTTCGGGATGCTATGGATCTAAATAGAACCGTTACTACATGCAAAGAACCTTTAAAGAACCATCTTTTTTTAGAGTGTAGGTCGGGTAGAATCTGCAAACACTGCCCCTGCTGGTTTCCATTGCTGCAATATCTGCGGAATCACGCAGACCAAAACAAAAACAGACATTCCGACTCAGAATGCACATTTCAAAATAAATATTAGCTGGCTGTATAGTGTTTTTTTTTTTTTTTGAGAAACAAGTATGTGAACTTAACATGATTGCATCATATATGGATTGGCCCCATTCACTTAAAAGCCTTTAGACAACTGCATTTACATCACAGTAAGGTTATTACATTTTCAGATCAGCATTCGTTTCGTTGAATTCACTTGTTGGCGATCTCATCTTCAGTAGATTGACGTCTCCAGATGCGATTGTCAGTCTGGATGCGCCTCAAGCTGTTTTGCACAGTGAATAATCTTAAGTTTGTGCATTTAAAATATAAGAGCAATAATATATGTGTTGTGACAAATCCCGGTTAGTCTAACACAGTTCACATAGCAAGGTTATTTATTTTATTTTTTTATAATAAATAAACAGAATAAAAAGTAGATAGAAAAGAAATAGAATAGACAGAGCTAGTGTGAGAGGGTTAATTATTATTATTTTGTATAATAATTAAAGAGAAAACAAGCAGATAGAATAGAAATAGAATAGAGAGTTCTAGTGTTAAATTAAATAAAACAATTCTAACAATATGTATTATAAATCCAATGGCTCTGTTACGTACTTAGTGGAGAAGAGGAGAAGGATCCTCAGCTTAACAGAGCTGCTCACACTTACATATGACCAGAAAACTAAAAAGAGAAAAGAACATGTTTGTTTGGAAACCAGTTACAATTTTAAAGTTACATTTGTATTTAAATTTAAGAATGAAATCATTTACCTGTTGAGAGTGTGTTGACAGTCTGTAGTTGGATCACTGAGCTCCAGAAAATCAGTAATATGGAGCTTTGACAGTTACAGATTTAAAAAACAAAAAGGGCGGGAACAAAGAACCCTAAACTCTAACACAAAGAACTATTTCAGCATAAAAGGGTTCTTCGGGATGCTATGGATCTAAATAGAACCGTTACTACATGCAAAGAACCTTTAAAGAACCATCTTTTTTTAGAGTGTAGGTCGGGTAGAATCTGCAAACACTGCCCCTGCTGGTTTCCATTGCTGCAATATCTGCGGAATCACGCAGACCAAAACAAAAACAGACATTCCGACTCAGAATGCACATTTCAAAATAAATATTAGCTGGCTGTATAGTGTTTTTTTTTTTTTTTGAGAAACAAGTATGTGAACTTAACATGATTGCATCATATATGGATTGGCCCCATTCACTTAAAAGCCTTTAGACAACTGCATTTACATCACAGTAAGGTTATTACATTTTCAGATCAGCATTCGTTTCGTTGAATTCACTTGTTGGCGATCTCATCTTCAGTAGATTGACGTCTCCAGATGCGATTGTCAGTCTGGATGCGCCTCAAGCTGTTTTGCACAGTGAAAAATCTTAAGTTTGTGCATTTAAAATATACATCAAAAGTGCAACTTCAACAGGGTTTTCAGAGTAATTGACGTTTTAAAAACATACACTTTTCATAACTGCTTATGACAGCAGCCTTCCCGTGTACTGTCCAGCTTCTCAAGCGAAGAGTCATGGGAATTATAATGAATGCAGCACGATAAATTATAGATCATGTTATACTAGAGGAGTGTGAAGTCTTTATTGTGTGGGAACTGTTTTAGGGCATTCACCTCAGATTTCTTTCACACTCCCAGAATCCCTTTCTCTCATGACCCAGGTAGGGCAAGGGTACATGTAGGATCTCAGACCGAATCAGACAATCTAAGATTTGGTCAAAACCGAGTTGAGGCACGAGGAGTCACAAAAATTCCACAGAGGATTTTGGATATAGATATCCATTGCAGAATTGCTGTCATACGGCTCGTTCACTGACTCGCTGGCCGTCTCAGTGATCAGCCGTAAAACAGTGATTCTGTCCTAATTCCCTTGCATATTAATGGTGGAGTTCCCTTTAAAATCTTAAATGATTCCCTTTGAGCTAAATTATTGACCTGTTTCCCTTACATACACTAAAGTCTCTAGCAAACACACACGCTTCTTCTAAAGGTGAACTTTCTCTTCTTGCTTCTCTGCTTTTGCAGTATTACCAGCAAACAGAGTGATGCATTTTATTATAGAAGAATTAAAATGCATAATATAGCACACACAATCAAAGCCGTTTCTCAATCTCAAGGGAATCCACAATTTCTTAATATTGTGGCTGTTTTTCTACACTCATTAATCAGTATTTTTCACAATTAGATGTACAGTCATCCATATACAGCAATTTGATTCTGAATACTAATTGCAAACTGAGCATGAAGGTTTATTTTGCATATTGACTTCAGTAATATGACTGGCATCTGTATCTGAATTATCATCTTGGTTATTTAACATTAAAATTCCACCTTTGTAATTAAACGAAAGCCTCTAATGAATAAAATATCAGCCTATACTTCCAATACATAAACTTTAAACCCCTTTAGCTACTTGTGAGGATTCTTCTTTTCATGTATTTTTAATTGGATCTTTAAAAAAGTGTGAAAGTGAACTCCATACAAAGTCTTGACATGCAATGCGGAGGCAATTTACGGCAATTTAGCGCGGCTGGAATTGAGCAGACTCCTCAGGCACCTCTTTTATTTTCATACAGGATCTAGTGACAGTAATGAATCATAGTTAAGAGCATACTGCAGCGTAAGCTCCCAGTTTATTAAACAGTCAGCAGCTCATTGCTTTTGATCCTCCGGAGTGTCATAGTAACTGATTATGCCCAGACGTGCTGATGTTTCCCTTTACTTGTCCCCGTCGCATCTCCTCTCTTCTACCTTTCACTCATCCCTTCACGAAGATCGAGAGAGGGAGTCGACTTCGACAAACAAACAAACGCAAACAAACAAACATGTCGCTAGGCTTTTTTAAAAAGTAATATTTAAAAAAATGTTGATTACCACAAATAAATAAATCAGAATACCTAACTAATTAATTAATTAATTAACTAAATAAATACATAAATAAATGTCTCTCCTTGACTCACAGAGTGTCACTGGCAATATATATATATACTGTGTATATACACATATATATATATATATATATATATATATATATATATATATATATATATATATATACACACACTTTTTTTTCACTTCTTTTTCCTTACCATCAACATGAAGATCCAACCGTCAACCGAGCCAGCCAACTGTTGTGGAACATTCTAAAATAATAGAATTGTCACGTTGCATATATATATATATATATATATACATATATATATACACACACTTTTTTTTTACAGGTATTTTAGGGTTAATGGCATTATGTTGTAATGATGACAATGTTGTCAAGTTGAATATAATGAACATACTAAAATCCAGGGTTATTATAATTAACTAAGATTAAAACTAAATTGAAACTAAAAGTAGACCCTTTAAAAACTTTTGTTATTTGAAATAAAATAAACATTAACTGAAATACAATCTTGAAAAATTCTTATTAAAATGACTGCAACATGATTCATTTTAATTTATTTTAACTTGATGCCATGTTTTTTCAATAATGTTTATTTTATTTCAAATAATATCAGTTTTTTAAAGGCTCTAATTTTAGTTTAAATTTAGTTTTACATTTTAAACTTAAACTAAAATGAAAATGCAAAAGGTGTCACATGTTTATGTTTCCATGCCCCCATTTGGTCTTCCTGTTCCTGCTCCCTGATTGTTTATTTGTCCCAGGTGTTTCCTCTGTTTACTGTTTCATCAACTCCAGGTGTGTCTCGTCTTCCCATTAGCCGGTTTAGTTTATTTAAAGTGTTCTGTTCCCTGTTGGTTTGTCCGGTATTGTTGATGTCAACTCCTTGTGCTACGTGTGATTCCCTGTGATAATAATAAAGTCCTTGGTTCTGTACTCCTGGTCTCCTCGTTCCATGTTCCCGCTTCGTAGCAACCCGTGAAAGAATACCGTACCAAACAAAAAGTGAGCGGCGACTTTTCCTCGCGTTTGTTTTTTTCTGCCTTTTTGAGAGTTTTTTTTGTTTTCCTTGTTTTCCCCGGGGCTGTGGAAATTGCCGCTTGGTTCTCCGCCTTAGCTCGCCTAGATCTCCCCTTTGTCGAGTATTCCTGGGAGTTCTGCAGGCTCGCCGCGGCTACGGCCCTCGATGACGCCACCATTAATTTTCTGTTCTGGCTCGGGGTCAACTACCATTGCCCCGTGGACCTCCCAGACACCACGAGACTGAGCTGGAGGGAAGGAATCATCCGGTGTCTGGAGAGCGTCCTGCCCCGAGCCAGAACCAGTCTGCAGTCCGCGGCTCACGCAAGCCCGCCGCCGTCTGCGGCCTACTCTAGTTCACCGGCCGTTAATATGGTAAACCCAACGAACATTAATATGGCAAGCCCGCCATGCGTTCTTGAGAGTGTCGGTTCCAGCCCCAGTGCCTGCTCCTCGTAAGCACCTTCCAGAGCTCGCTCTAGTGTCGGCTCCAGCCCCAAAGCTCGCTCCAGTGTCTGCTCCAGTCCCAAAACTCACTCCAGTATTGTTGATGTCAGCTCCTTGTGCTACGTGTGATTCCCCTCGATAATAATAAAGTCCTTGGTTTTGTAGTCCTGGTCTCCTTGTTTCGTGTTCCCGCTCCGTAGCAACCCATGACAAAAGGAAGATATAAAAATAAAAACTGATTCAAAATATGATTAAAACCTATAATAGTGTGTCAGTAACATATTAAAATAACCTATAATTTCTCACCTCTGAATTTATGTTAACATGGGTAT